CATCGGTCCCTTCCTAAAACGTGTCATCCGTGTTGGGGCGTTGCCCATAGACCTGTTGTGAAGCACCCAGCGTTTCACCATTCTTCCACCCACGCTTCGCCGTAAATCTGATGTTTGTTCTGGCAAAATGCATGTTGCTCTGATTGAGTCTTGCAAACTCCTGTTAATCTTAGCGCCTCAGACTAGATCCTTCTCACACATGTTACGGCAAGCAGCAAGGGCTTCCTGGTACCAAAACTTTTGAAATCCATGCATGTGTTTTTTTCATAGTACATATTTCTGTGAACCCTCTGAAGATCTCTAGTCTCTCTGTGTGTGTACAGATACACTGTTGCTACAGACTTTTTGAAAATTTATTTGCATAGTTATGTAACATTCTAAGGAATGTGTTATAATCCATTTAACATGTGCTTTATTTTTGCACAGTTAGGTAATCCTTTTTTTATTTTTAACTTTTTATTAGTGTTTTTTTTTGTTTTGTTTTGTTTTGTTTTGTTTTGTTTTTTTTTTTTTTTACTATTTGTGCAGTAGAGAGACACGGTGCTGTCCCGTTCACTGGTTTCCTCCTCGGCTGTCTGAAGAGCCAGGGCTGGGCGAGGCTGAAGCTGAGAGGCAGAAACTCAATCCAGGTCTCCCACGTGGCGCCAGAGACCCAACCGCTTGAGCCGTCTCTGCCGCCTCCCGGGATTTGCCTTAGCAGGAAGCTGGTACTGGGGCCCGTGGCCGGGACTCGAAGTCAGACACTCCACTCTGGGGACAGATGCCCACTCCAAAGTAGTCCTTTTTAAAAGTCACCCATCTCAAGGCCGCAGCTCACTAGGCTAATCCTCCGCCTTGTGGCGCCGGCACACCGGGTTCTAGTCCTGGTCGGGGCGCCGGATTCTGTCCCGGTTGCCCCTCTTCCAGGCCAGCTCTCTGCTGTTGCCAGGGAGTGAGGTGGAGGATGGCCCAGGTCCTTGGGCCCCGCACCCCATGGGAGACCAGGAGAAGCACCTGGCTCCTGCCATCGGATCAGCGTGGTGCGCCGGCCGCAACGCGCCGGCTCTGGCGGCCATTGGAGGGCGAACCAACAGCAAAGGAAGACCTTTCTCTCTGTCTCTCTCTCTCTCTCTCTGTCCATTCTGCCTGTAAAAAAAAAAAAAAAAAAAAAAAAGTCCCCCATCTCGTGATGCGCTGCCGTCTGTGAGCTTCTGGTAGGCACCCAGGACCCTGCCTGCTGTCTGTGACGCTGTCTGCCTTCCCGAGCTCCACGGGCTCATTCTCAGACACGAGCAGCCTTAACTCTCAGGGAGAAGTCCTGGGGCTGTGCAAGTCTTAGGATGGCTTCCCCCAGGAGCGACATCCTGCTGACACCCAAAGGATGGGCAGCGTCTAGCCAGGCAAGAGGCCGGGAGAAGAACATGGCTGACCGAGGCGCAGAGGGGGTGGAGCACACTCCCCCCGAGGTGGGGGACGGCCACGCGGGTCCGCTTTTCTCCGTGGATGCACAGTAAGTGCTGAGCAGGCCCCACACAGATCCGCCTCTCCTGTGCCCTCCACCTCCGTCCCCTGCCCCACGTCCCTGTCACAGAGACGGTGGAGACCTGCAGGGCACCCGGATCCGGCGTGGGTAAATGCGGACGGCCAGCCTGGTAGAGCCAGCGGCTTCCTTCTCACAGCCTCTGCAGCCCCGGGAGTGGTGTTACCATTTCCCTCTGCAGAGGGGAAATGGAGGCATTAGTAACTTCCGCAAGGTCACGGGGCTGAGCTAAAGGACACACTCAGCAAGCGGACGGATGGTGCTCCCACGGTCTCACCTACAGCGCGCGGCGGCACCCGCTCGCCCTCAGCCCCGTCCCCCGCCCCTCCCGGGGGTGTGCTTCTGTCCGGGTGCTCCCTCTTGTTGGCCACTGTCTTGCCTCATGGGGAACGTGGCCCCCAGAGCCAGACTGAGGAGCCGACGTGTGGGCCTGGTCTGGGTAGACAGGGCCGCCTGCGGTCTCTGTGTGTTGAGGGCTGCAGGCCACTGGACAAGACGGGGAGGGAGGGGAGGCCGAGAGCATTCCCAGAAACACCTGCCCAGGCTGCTTAGACACTCTGTACCCTCCAGCAGCCTGTTATGAAAACCGTTCAAGAAGTTGCCGAGTGAGCACTCTTCACGGGGAGCTCCGCCCCTCTCAGTGTGGTTCGACCCTGCTTGGTGCAGACCTGGCTGTCCCCCAGGCTGGGTGGGTTTTTTTTTTTTTTTTGGGTGGAGGGGATGTATTTCAGAGTACACATCCCCCTGACTACCTCACCGTGCTTAGAACTGACGAGGGTTCAAAATACTTACAGACTTCTCTTCTGATTGTAAGTTTTACTGCAGTTCTTAAAGAGTACCGATGTCCCTTGGAGCCTGTGTCGCATCGGTTCCCAGAGACCCTGCCCGTCACCCTGTGGACACCAAAACTCAGGGATTCTCAAGTCTCTGGTGTAAAATGCCATAGACTTTGCCTTTAACCTAAAACTCCTCCCGTATACTTAAAGTGATCTCTAGATGGCTTACCTAGTACAATGTCGGTGCTATGTGCTTAGTTGTTGTACTGTTGTTTAGGGAATACTGACAAGAAGAGGAGCCTGTGTGTGTCTAGTACAGATGTATTTTGTTCCAAATACTTCCTTTTTTCGAATGATGTATTTATTCGAAAGGTAGAGTGACAGAGAGGAAGAAACAGAGAGAGAGATCTTCATCCACTGCTTCGCTCCCTAAATGGCTGCAATGGCCAGGGTTAGGAGCCAGGGGCTCCATCCTGGTTTCCCACGTGGGTGCAAAGGCCCAAGCACCCAAGCACTCAGACCATCTTCTGCTGCTTTCCCAGGTGCATTAACAGGGAGCTGAAGTGGAGCAGCCGGGACTCGAACCGGCGCCCATATGGGATGCCAGTGCAGCCAGCAGCTTTACTTGCTATGCCACAACGTTGGCCCCTTTCAGATATTCTCAAGCCACAATGGCATGGATGCAGAACCAGCGGGAATGGAGACCCAGCTGTGCCCTTGCTCAGTGTTGGCAGATGCGAATGCCTGTGCACCCCCAACCGGCCTGGGCACAATAGATCGTTACCATCATCCCGGAAAATTCCCTCATGCCCCCTCCCGCTCAGTCCTCCCCCTGCTCCCGGGCGACCAGTGTTCTCTTCACAGCGGGCTGCTTTGGACTGTTCTAGAACTTTAAATACGTGGAGCTGCACAGCACGTGTTGTTTGTGGACAGTTTCTCTCACTGAGCATCATGTGATCGCGTTTCATCACGCCGTGTTCTGCATCGCTAGCTCAGTTCCTGTCTGTTGCCGAGTGAGGGTTCTGTTGTGTGAATGGAGCGTGGGCTGTTGTGAATGAAGCTGCAGTGGGCACTGTGTAGTTTTTTGTGCATTTCCGGTTTTCTCAGGATTGGAACTGCTGGGTCACAACCAGCTGTGTGCTCAGTTTTGTTTTTTTTTTTTTTTTTTTTTGGACAGGCAGAGTGGACAGAGAGAGAGACAGAGAGAAAGGTCTTCCTTTGCTGTTGGTTCACCCTCCAATGGCCGCCGCCGGCTGGCGCGCTGCGGCCGGCACACTGCGCTGATCCCATGGCAGGAGCCGGGTGCTTCTCCTGGTCTCCCATGGGGTGCAGGGGCCAAGCACTTGGGCCATCCTCCACTGCACTCCCTGGCCACAGCAGAGAGCTGGCCTGGAAGGGGGGCAACTGGGAAAGAATCCGGCACCGTGCACTCAGTTTTATACAAAGCCACCACACCCTTTCCCACCGTGGTTGCACTATTTTACTCTCCTGCCACCAGTGTGTAAGAATTCCATTGGCAGCCGGCGCTGCAGCTCACTAGGCTAATCCCCCACCTTACGGCGCTGGCACACCGGGTTCTAGTCCCGGTCGGGGCGCCGGATTCTGTCCCGGTTGCCCCTCTTCCAGGCCAGCTCTCTGCTGTGGCCAGGGAGTGCAGTGGAGGATGGCCCAAGTGCTTGGGCCCTGCACCCCATGGGAGACCAGGAGAAGCACCTGGCTCCTGCCATCGGATCAGCGCAGTGCGCCGGCTGCAGTGGCCATTGGAGGGTGAACCAACGGCAAAGGAAGACCTTTCTCTCTGTCTCTCTCACTGTCCACTCTGCCTGTCAAAATAAATAAATAAATAAATAAATAAATAAATAAATAAATAAATAAAAAAGAATTCCAGTGGCTTCCAGTTTTGTCTGCTGGGTCTACCCATAGTACATTAGGAAATGTTTTTCTTGTGTGTTCTACCATCTGGGGAAGGAAGGTCATGTTAAGTTTCATTTTTGGGAATCCCGAGTGCACAGACATTTAGGTTTATTAACCTGAAGTTGCCAGCGGCCTGCAGCCACCTTCTACATGAGAAAGTTCTTGGTTTGGAGAATCCTGGCCATGCCCTTAAATCGAAAAGCCCAGGCGTATGTGAAGACAGGCTCCAAGTGGTGAATTCACACAGAGACGTCTTGTAAAGAGCCCATGCCTCGTCCGAGACAGTCACACTCTGGCCTGTGCTGTCCTGAGGGTGGCACTGAGGGTGCCGCGTTCCGTGGCAGTCTGTTGCAGCCCTCTCTCCTTGCATGCCCTGACCTCAGCTCTTGTCCCTGGTCGGGCTTTAAGCCCTGGTGTCTGGGTGGCCAGGTTGGCAGTGCCCTGCGAGGGCATGACGTGGGGCCTCTGCCTTTATCCAGTGCCTGCTGCTTTTCCGTCCCAGAGCTCTGTCCTTTCCACGGAGCGCAGCCGCGCCTCAGAACACGTTTGTATTCCGGTCTCCAGCGTATAGGTGCTGTGTGGCAGGGAGGTTTAGAGGGCTTCCTAGTGGCCCCTGTTGGCAGAAATGAAAAGCTGGGGGCATAAACACCCCAGTCTCCCGGATTCTTAGAACTAGAAGCCGCCCCTCTCGGAGGCTAATAACGCACAGGCCCCCGCGCTGGCGGGAGGTGGGCCGGACTTCTGAGTAATGATGTTTTCGCCCTGAGACGCCCTCTCTGTTTTCCTTACAGGACACAACCTGGGAACGGGGGGACGTGGTGGATCTGGGGGCGTTCTGAGCCCGCACACAGCAAGCAGACATGTCTTTGGATGACATTAAAATGAAGTCCAGTGACTTCCTGGAGAAGGCGGATCTGGACAGCGGCGGCTTCGGGGAGGTGTCTCTGTGCTTCCACAGACTCCACGGCTTAGTGATCCTGAAGAAGGTGTACACAGGGCCCAAGCGTGCCGAGTGAGTTGGGAGCAGGGGTGGGTGGGACACGGCTGCGCCCATGAGTGGCCAGCTCTCGGGACGAGGCAGACCCTGGCGGGAGTCTCGGGTCGTGGACCTGCGTCAAGGAATGAGAACTCTTAGGTTGTTGTCGTCACTGGTGAGGACTCGGGCTGCTCAGACAGAAGCTCACAGCCGATAAATAATGGACGATCCGGGAGGTGATGAGAAATGGGAGGAATTCCTGAAGCTACTCACTTGCTTCACCTTTTTGGTGCAAACCAGCCCTGGGTATGAAAACAGACGGTTCATTCATGAGAGGTTCTGGTAGCCTTCTCTTTCAAGTCATCAGGGGAGAGTTTTCCCTCCCATTCTCCTTGTTACAATGGGTATGGCAGAGGCCATGTTTCTTTTTATTATTTATTTATTTATTTATTTATTTATTTATTTATTTTGACAGGCAGAGTGGACAGTGAGAGAGAGAGACAGAGAGAAAGGTCTTCCTTTGCCGTTGGTTCATCCTCCAATGGCCGCCGCAGCCGGCGCGCTGCGGCCAGTGCACCGCACTGATCCGATGGCAGGAGCCAGGTACTTATCCTGGTCTCCCATGGGGTGCAGGGCCCAAGCACCTGGGCCATCCTCCACTGCACTCCCTGGCCACAGCAGAGAGCTGGCTTGGAAGAGGGGCAACCGGGACAGAATCCGGCGCCCCGACCAGGACTAGAACCCGGTGTGCCAGTGCCACAAGGCGGAGGATCTTTTTATTTTTTTAAGATTTATTTATTTATTTGAAAGGCAGAGCTACACAGAGAGAGAAGGAGAGGCAGAGAGAGAGAGGGAGGTCTTCCATCTGCTGGTTCACTCCCCAGTTGGCTGCAACGGCCAGAGCTGCGCTGATCCGAAGCCAGGAGCCAGGAGCTTCTTCCAGGTCTCTCACGGGTGCAGGAGCTCAAGCACTTGGGCTCTTCCACTGCTTTCCCAGGCCACAGCAGACAGCTGGATCGGAAGTGGAGCAGCCGGGACTCGAACTGGCACCCATGTGGGATGCCAGCACTGCAAGCGGTGGCTTTACCCGCTACGCCACAGCACCAAGGCCATGTTTCTTACTGCTCTTTCTTGTGCATTCTTTTCTTCATGCACCAGCACTGTTGCTTGTGCACCTGTCATTCCGTCACATATCCTGAGCACCCACTGCCAGTCCCTGTTAAGGCGCAATATAAAGGTGCCTCCTAGTGTGTTCTGAGCCGGGGAGCCATCAGTACAGACCCAAGCGTGGCAGAAGTGCGGGAGATGGGAAGCGTTGGAGGCGCGCGCCGAGCTCCTTGGGCCTTGCCCTCCTGAGCCTGGCGCCTTCCCTGCCCGCAGGTACAGGGAGATGGGAAGCGTTGGAGGCGCGCGCCGAGCTCCTTGGGCCTTGCCCTCCTGAGCCTGGCGCCTTCCCTGCCCGCAGGTACAGGGAGATGGGAAGCGTTGGAGGCGCGCGCCGAGCTCCTTGGGCCTTGCCCTCCTGAGCCTGGCACCTTCCCTGCCCGCAGGTACAACGAGTCTCTGCTCGAGGAGGGGAGGATGATGCACAGGCTGAAGCACAGCCGGGTGGTGGAGCTCCTGGGCGTCGTCATGGAAGAGGGGAACTACTGCCTGGTGATGGAGTACATGGAGAAGGGCAGCCTGATGCACGTGCTCAAAGCCGAGGTACAGGACACGGTCGCCAGCCCTCCAGCGCGGGGCTGCCGTGCGGCCGTTTGCTTACAGCGCACTGCTATAACATAATCCCTTCGTGAGTTGCTTCATAGTTTGGATTTGTTTAAAAAAGATGCATTTATTTTATTTGAAAGACAGAGTGACAGAGAGAGGGAGAACCAGAGAAGGAGCTCTTGCATCCCCTGGTTCCCTCTCCTAAATGGCCACAGCGGCCAGGGCCGGGCAGGCTGAAGCCAGGAACCAGGAACTCCATACGGGTCTCCCTCGTGGGTGGCAGGGGCCCAAGCACTCGGGCCATCTGCTGCTGCCTTCCCAGGCACATTGGCAGGGAGCTGGGTCAGAAGCCGAGTAGTTGGGACTTGACCCATGCTCTGACACAGGATGCCAGCCTGGGCTTAACCCACTGCAGCAGAGTGCTGGCCCTGTTTGGATTTTTTGAAGTCAGTCCCTTGTTAGATTTTCTTTGCCTGTCCCAGCCCAGGGAGTCGTTTCTCCATCCTCTCAGCCTCTGACAGCCGCCGTGTCACTCACTTGGAAGGTCCTCTGGGCCTTTTTACGGTACCTGTCAGCCTGTGTCTGATCCAGTTCCCAGGTGGGCTCTGTCCTAATGAAGCCTGTCATCTGATGTGGGTACATGCTTGATACATAGCAGCTAAAGCCGGCTTGTGAAAGCATGCACGCCATGAAGAGGGTGACAGATGTTGATTGATTGATTAAGCATGTGTGCTGTATGAGACTGCAAGAGAAGATGGGAGATTGAAGATTACCTTTTGAAACAATTCAAGAAACTTTTATAGAACATTAGCAACAATAACACAGTATAATATTTAAAACAGGGAAATTAAAAGGGTTTACCTAAACCAAATAGTTTTTCAAAAAAAATTTGTAAAGATTTATTTATTTATTTGTCAGAGTTACACAGAGAGAGAGAGAGAGGTCTTTCATCCACTGGTTCACTCCCCAGTTGGCTGCAGTGGCTGGAGCTGGGCTGATTCAAAGCCAGAAGCTTTTTCTGGGTCTCGCACGTGGGTGCAGGGGCCCAAGCACTTGGGCATCTTCCACTGCTTTCCCAGGCCACAGCAGAGAGCTGGATCGGAAGAGGAGCAGCTGGGATATCAGCTCGTACCCATGTGGGATGCTGGCTCCACAGGCAGAGGCTTCACCTACTGTACCACAGCGCTGGCCCCGGACCCCCCCCCCCCATTTTTTTAAAGATTTATTTATTTATTTGAAAGGCAGAGTTCCAGAGAGGCAGAGAGAGGGAGAGAGAGAGAGAGAGAGAGATATCTTCCATCCACTGGTTCACTCCCCAAATGGCCACAATGGCCAGAGCTGGATCGATCCAAAGCCAGGAGCTTGGAGCTTCCTCCGGGTCTTCCACATATGGGTGCAGGGGCCCAAGCACTTGGGCCATCTTCCACTGCTTTCCCAGGCACATTAGCAGGGAGCTGGATTGGAAGTGAAGCAGCCGGGACTTGAACTGGCGCCCATATGGGATGCCAGCACTGCAGCTGGAGGCTTTACCTGCTACGCCACAGCACAGGCCCTGACCCCAAATTTTTTATGCACAGAAATAAACATATCTTTTAATTCTATTTTCCATGAACTTTCTTATTTAGTTATTTTATATTTTATTTATTTGAAAGGCAGGGAGACAGAGAAGGCTCCTATCCACTGGTTCATCCCCCAGTGCCCACACCAGCAAGTAGGGCCAGCTTGATGCCTGGCCCAATCCAGGCCTCCTGTGTGGGTGGCAGGGACCCAGCTACTTCAGCTGTCAGCTGCTGCCTCCCAGGGTGTGCATTAGCAGGAATCTGGAGTCAGAGGTGGAGCTGGGACTTGAGCCCAGGCATCTGATGGGGATGCGGCCGTTCCAAGTCGCATTTTGACTCTTGTTCCAAACACCTGCCACTCCATGAGGTTCTGAAGTGTCCAGTAGTCTGCAGTGGGAGCGTCCTAGCCTTGCACAGACGAGAAAGGCTTGCAGTGTGAGGACACGTAGAGACTTTCTTTAATAGTATATTTTTTAAAAAAGATACATATTTTTTAAAATTTTGAGGGGCAGAAAGAGATGGATGGATAGAGCTCCCATCCGCTAGTTCACACCCCAGTTGTTCGCCCAGGACTGAAGTCAGGAGCCGGGACCTCACCCAGCTGTCCTACGTGGGTGACAGACCCGACTACTTCATGCGTCAGCTGCTGCTTCGCAGGTGCTGTGTTAGCAAGAAGCTGGAATTGGGGGTTGGAGCTGGGAATGGAACCCGGGGATTAGGACGCGGGAGGCTGACCCCCAGGTGCCCGCCTCGGACCCTGTCACGCTAACCTAACAGCTGCACTGGCCTGTTTGCTGACTTCTCCACTTCACAGATGTAACATCCCCCGTTTTAGATCAGTATCCCGCTTTCTGTAAAAGGAAGGATCATTGCAGAGACCATCGAAGGGATGTGCTACCTGCACGGAGAAGGTGTGATTCACAAGGACCTGAAGCCCGAGAACATCCTCGTCGACAACGACTTCCACATTAAGGTAGCCGGAGCCTGCAGGCTTCTAGGAGGTCCAGGAGTCTGAGCCTCAGTCCCTGCCCTGAACCCGTTCCTGTAAATGGCAGATACAGGAAGACTAGCCTGCGTGCACGTGGTGGTGGTGGTGGCGGGGCCAAAAGGCTCCGCTGCGGGTTGAGAGGAAAGACAGGGTTGATGGGCTTGGGCGGTAACTGAGAGTGGAACCGGTGTCTTCGGAGAGAAGTGGAATTGGATGGGATGGGGAGGAACCACTTTGCTGGCCTTTGCTCTCCTGCTCTGTCAGACTCTAGATGGAAACATGTCAGGCTTGCCTTGCTGACCCTAGAGTGGGCCATTTTCCCCATCATTCCCCCGGGAAATCTGTGTGGCTAGGACTCTTCTCTGGAAGTACAGGGGTGTGAAGGCATGCTTGGAAAATCTCCAGCATTCAGATCTGGCCTAGAGTCAGGTCAGTAGCAAGTTGGGCGTTTTGGCATCAAGAAACATCTGCTTTGAAATTTAGCTGATTTATAGTTTCTGTTTAATGCCATCTGCGCTTTGAAAAAATCAGTATCCGTTTACAAACTCTTTTCCCATTGTGGTAGAGCAGACAAGCGAAAGGAACTGTACCTTTGGCCACTGAAGGCTTTGGAATCCCAGCGCAGGAGTCGAGGGACGTGGCCCTCGGGAGGAACTCGGGACCTGTGCCTGCCGGTCCCCCTCTCCGTCAGAAGATGCTGCCTCTAACGCTTCGCTCTAGCTTGGACACATTTTTATTCCTGTTTCTTTCATGATAGCTCTTTAGTAGCGTATTTCTCACAGTTCTGGGTTCACATCTCTGAATTTTAGTTTTCATAGTTCTTAAATGGATTTGAAAGGCAGACCTTTCCCATCTTCTGGTTCACTCCCAGATGCCCTCAACAGCCGGGGCTGGGCCAGTCCAGAGCCCGGAGCCAGGAGCCCAAGCCAGGTTTCCCATTGGTGGCGGGGACCCAGGCGCTTGAGCCGTTACTTGCTTTCTCCCAGGACGCATTAGCAGGAAGCTGGAATGGAAAGCGGAGCTGGGACTCGAACCCAGACACTGGTACAGGATGCTGGCACCCCAGGTGGCGTCTTCATTGCTGCACCACAGCCTTCCCTCAAAAATGTGTGACTTTTATTGACTACTTATTATTTATTTATTTATTTATTTTTGACAGGCAGAGTGGACAGTGAGAGAGAGAGACAGAGAGAAAGGTCTACCTTTGCCATTGGTTCACCCTCCAATGGCCGCCACGGCCGACGCACCGCGCTGATCCGATGGCAGGAGGAGCCAGGTGCTTCTCCTGGTCTCCCATGGGGTGCAGGGCCCAAGCACTTGGGCCATCCTCCACTGCACTCCCGGGCCACAGCAGAGAGCTGGCCTGGAGGAGGGGCAACCGGGACAGAATCCGGCGCCCCAACCGGGACTAGAACCCGGTATGCCGGCGCCGCAAGGCGGAGGATTAGCCTGGTGAGCCACGGCGCCGGCTAACTTACTTATTTTTAAGATTTATTTATTTATTAATTTGAAAGGCAGAGTTCCAGAGAGAGAATGACCCCCTCGCCAAATGGCCACAATGGCCAGGGCTGGGCCAGACGGAAGCCAGGAGCCTGGAGCTGCATGCAGGTCTCCCCCTGGGTGGCAGGAACCCGGGTGCTGGGGCATCTTCCAGTGTTTCCCGTGCACTAGCAGGGAGCTGGATTGGAAGCAGAGCGGCTAGGACTTGGACCAGCACACACAGGGATGCTAGTTGCAGCGGCTGAACCCACAGCACCGGTGCTGGCCCCAGTATGTGCCTTTGAGGCCGTCACGTGGGTTCCCAGAGGCAGAAGTGGAACTGTGCCCTCGCTGTGCTGCTCTGTCCCGCTGCCCTGCCGCCTCCCTCTCTGCTCCGTGTCTGACCTTGTGTTTTTCTCTCTGCCTTTCCATCTGTTTTCTCCTCCTCCCCATCCCGGCTTAGGTTCAGGCCACCAGCTCAAAGCCGGCAGCACCACAGTGTGTCCTTGGGATCCTTGGAAACTCGCATCCCTGGGCCTCTGGACGCCCTGTGGGGAAGTAGAAGGTGTGGTATCCGGTTACCATCTGCAGAGGAGAACTTACCGTCTCCCCTCCCCCAGCGTCCGCCGCAGGCAGAGTCCAGAGCAGATGCAGAGCCCGCACGGAGTTAGAACAAGTGTGTCCGGGGCAGCTTCTGCTTTCTGCCTCCCTTTGTTGCGTAAGACCTGACATACCAGAATTTCACATGAGTACTTATTTTTTTGTTGTTAAGATTTATTTGTTTCATTTGAAAGGTAGAGTTATGGAGAGGAAGACACACACACACACACACACACACACACACACACAGTGCTTCCATCCACTGCTTCATTCCCCAGATGGCCAAGACAGCCCAGGCTGGGCCAGGCCCAGGCCAAAAGCCAGGAGTTTCATCTGAGTCTCCCATGTGGGTGGCAGGGACCCAGGCACTTGGCTCATCTGCCGCTCCCTCCCCAGGCACCTTCACAGGGAGCTGGAGCAGCAGAGACTCAACCCAGTGCTCGTGGGGGATCCGGCATTGCGGGCGGCAGCTTAACTCACATGAGCATCTCCTTTTTTTTTTGAAGGCAGAGTTGGACAGTGAGAGAGAGACAGAGAGAAAGGTTTTCCCTCCATTGGTTCACCCACCAAGTGGCTGCTATGGCCAGCGTGCTGCACTGATCCAAAGCCAGGAGCCAAGTGCTTCCTCCTGGTCTCCCATGGGGTGCAGGGCCCAAGCACTTGGGCCATCCTCCACTGCACTCCCGGGCAACAGCAGAGAGCTGGACTGGAACCAGGACAGAATCTGGCGCCCCGACCGGGACTAGAACCCGGTGTGCCAGCGCCGCAGGCTGAGGATTAGCCTAGTGAGCCGCGGTGCCGGCCCCATGAGCATTTCCTCAGGGAGATTTCCCATGTTGCTGAGGGAACATAAAGTTTGTCCTTGAGTCTGTTCAGAAGTAGCTGTTTTAAACCCGGTGCACCCATCAACCCTGATTGACGTGTGGCCTTCCCAGAATAATCCCTGGGTCTGACCTCACTCGCAGATCGCCGACCTTGGCGTTGCTTCCTTTAAGACGTGGAGCAAACTGACTAAAGAGGAACACAACGAGCAGAGGAAAGTGAATAGCACCCGCAAGAAAACTGGCGGCACCCTGTGCTACATGGCCCCCGAGCACCTGAATGACGTCAACGCGAAGCCCACGGAGAAGTCGGACGTGTACAGCTTTGCCATCGTACTCTGGGCAGTCCTTGCCAATAAGGAGCCGTACGAAAGTAAGAAGCTTGTGCGGGGGCACTTGTTGTTAGGAATCAAAACTGAAATCCACCAGGAGTTCTGTTGAGTGGCAGCTCGATCCGTGAGACTGTAGGTTCCCTGAGGGTAGGGCCTCGCCTGAGCTGTGTACGGCTGTTTCCTCAGCGTCTTCACGCACGGTGCCTGGGACCTACCAAGTGCCCTGTACGTGTTTGTGGATTGGATGAGTCACTCCGCTGCGGGTTACCACGACAGGTCGTAGGACAAACAGGAGCCTCGCGCATGCACCGAGCTTGGGAGGTGCCGGACAATTCCAGGGTCTTCCTGGTGGCAAAGCCTGGCTTATTAGCGCTTATGAGAACGTGGAATAGCTTGCATGCTTGCGTGCTTATATATTCCTGTTTTTTTTGACAGGCAGAGTGGACAGTGAGAGAGAGAGAGAGAAAGGGCTTCCTTTTCTGTTGGTTCACCCCCCCAAGTGGCCACCACGGCCTGCACACCGCACTGATCCGAAGCCAGGAGCCAGGTGCTTCTCCTGGTCTCCCATGCGGGAGCAGGGCCCAAGCACTTGGGCCATCTTCCACTGCACACCCGGGCCACAGCAGAGAGCTGGTCTGGAAGAGGAGCAACCGGGACAGACTCTGGCGCCCCGACCAGGACTAGAACCCAGGGTGCCGGCACCGCAGGCGGAGGATTAGCCCAGTGAGCCGCGGTGCCGGCCCGAGAACTTGGCTTTCATGCGGAGAACGCTTCGTGCTTTCACTTGCTCCTGCACTGGAGAATTTTTTTCCAGGACCCACGAGGGCAACGTTGGGAACATAAGGATAAGTCCTGGTTTGTACAGGCGGAGAGTGCACAGGTAGCCGTCCTTGCATCTGCGAAGTGTGTAAACAATGGACGCTTCCCCGCACACCCTTCTCGGGAGGGTCATGTCCTGTGGTTCAGGTGTCATCTCTTCCACCAGTTCCTCTGACTGTCTGGCCCTGGCCTGGTTCCCCACTCGCCTGTTAGAGCCACTGCAGGTAGCAGAGGAACCCCGAAGCAGCTCTCCTCCGACAGATGCATTTACAATGCCGTCCTTGCACCCGCGCAGCTGCGTTCGTCTGTAGTAAGCACGCTGCCATCTGTCTGCTGCCGCTTGTCCCCACATGTCGCTCCCCCTCTTCGTGGAGGAACGACACTAAGCCCTGCCTAGGCTTCATATCCGAGTCACGGCACCATTATGTCGCTCCCCGTCTTCGTGGAGGAACGACACTAAACCCTGCGCTGTTCTTTCGTCTGCTCGGCCCTCCCCGGGTTTGCTGCTGGTTCTTCCCGGGTTGGCTACCGTCCCTTCCACCTCCGTGGAAGGGCAGTTCCCCCTGCCACATTCCCCACTTCTGCGGGGGAGCGGCACACTGCCGGCCGGGGGGCTGCACAGGTGTTCCTCTTAGATGTTCCCCTTAGATATTCCTGGTGCATGTTGTCTCTCTCCTCCTTTATAGTCCTCCTCCGCCAATCCATGCTCGGCTGCCCACACGCCGAGTATGCTGCTCTCCTCCAATCAGGAGCAGGTCCTGCTGTTTATTGGTTGAACTGGAGGCAGCTGTGTAGAAGCTGTTTTCTCCTCTCCCAGCGCCATATTGTGGGAGAGCAGATGCATAGAGTAAGTCTTAATTCCAGTAACTCAGTCCAGTCCGGGTTGCTCCCCACACCACATCCCTCCAGGCCTGAAGGCACGATTGCAGCTCTCTCGTCCCAGCACTTCTCTGACCCCACAGCCTCTGTTCAGCTCCAACCCTCCTTCTTTCTGCTACACTTTCCTGGTGTAGTCGGCCATCGTGTGGCAGCCAACCACGATAGTCCTCCCAGACAGCAAATGCAACCGCTTAACTGCCCTGCTTTAAAGACCTGCTGAGCCTCTGCAGGCCTTCGGGGTTGGGTTCAAGTTCCTCCGTGCGGACCACAAGCCCCTTTAGGATCTGGCCTCTGCCTTGTCCCGTACCCTCTCGCCCGTTGTCAGTCATCATTCTGGTGGAGGAACCTCTGAAGTGCATCCTGACTTCTAACCCCCATCCTCTCCTGTCTTGTTTCCCTGGCCTGGAGGCCTCCTCCCCGTACCCCCCCCCCATCCTCTCCTGTCTTGTTTCCCTGGCCTGGAGGCCTCCTCCCCGTATCCCCCCATCCTCTCCTGTCTTGTTTCCCTGGCCTCGAAGCCTCCCCCCCATCCCCCTGCCCCCTTCTCTACTGGATGCCTCCTGCTTATTTTTCTGGACCCAAGAACGCCTTCTCAGCCTTCCATTCTAGTCATGGTTGCATTACCAGACCCGAAAGGCCCCGTCACTCTGGGTTTTAAGTCACTCGTTGAACAGCTCCGTAGAGGCCAGGCCTGTGCCACATTTGCCTTTGACTTACAGGCTGGAGAACGCCAGTGGCTTCGCCCGCGTGATCGCGTTGTTCTGCCAGCAGGCAGCTTTGCTGCGAATTCTGTCTTCGTTTGCGGGACTAAGATGTAGTTCGATCATCCCCTGATGAACGGTGGCAGCTCTTTGTCACAGCTGTTCCGGTCCTCTGGAATGAGGCACGCACACCACACGCACCCTAGGCAGCGAGACGTCAGCAGTGTTGTCCCCGCTGTGTCCCCCTGCCCCTTCCCTGCCTGCGAGAGGGGCACCACCTGAAAGCGTCTCTCCCTTCCAGATGCCATCTGTGAGCAGCAGCTGATTCTCTGCATAAAGTCCGGCAACCGGCCCGACGTGGACGACGTCGCCGAGGACTGCCCCGGGGAGCTCATCCGCCTCATGGAGCTCTGCTGGGAGGCGGACCCGAGAGCGCGGCCCACGTTCCCTGGTGAGCACGGCCTTGGCGCTGTGGGGCGCGTCCGCATCCCTGTGTGATGGCTCCCCAGGAGGACCTGGGAGACCGGGTCTGGGTCTTCAGGAAACCAAGTTCCACTTAGTTCTCATGTCCTGCTGATTGCCTCAGTCTCAGACACGGAGCTCTGAAAACATGGCGTTTCTCTCAGAAGCATGAGGGCGTAGAAGGCCTGTTGCACGCTCTCTCTCTCTCTTCTTTTTATAATTAACTATTTTTTATTGTGTTAACATGTATATATTACAAAATGTACCGTCTTAACCATTTTAACTACGTGTGGATACTTCAAAAAGTTCCTGGGAAATGGAATTTAAAATTCAGTCAGGGGTGAGCATTAGCCTAGTGGTTAAGACACTCATACTGATAACTTGGGTTCAGTATCCGCTCCGGCTTCTACTCCAGCTCCCTGCTCATGCAGACCCTGGGAGGTGGTGGTGGCTGTAGTGATTGGGCCCCTGCCACCCATATGGGAGACCGGGAGTGGGTTCCTGGCCCAGCCCTGGATTTGCAGGCATCTGGGGAGGGAACCAGCAGATGGCAGCTCCTCTATTTCTCTCTCTCCATCTCTGCCTCTCAAATAGACTTTTTTTTTTTTTTTTTTTTTTTTTTTGACAGGCAGAGTGGACAGTGAGAGAGAGAGAGACAGAGAGAAAGGTCTTCCTTTGCCGTTGGTTCACCCTCCAATGGCCGCCGCGGCCAGCGCGATGCGACCGGCGCACCGCGCTGATCCGATGGCAGGAGCCAGGAGCCAGGTGCTTTTCCTGGTCTCCCATGGGGTGCAGGGCCCAAGCACCTGGGCCATCCTCCACTGCACTCCCTGGCCATAGCAGAGAGCTGGCCTGGAAGAGGGGCAACCGGGACAGAATCCGGCGCCCCGACCGGGACTAGAACCCGGTGTGCCGGCGCCGCTAGGCGGAGGATTAGCCTAGTGAGCCGCGGCGCCGGCCGACTTTTTTTTTTTAAGATAAGTTTATTTTGGTGCAAAAAACTTTTTAAAAAATTTATTCATATACATCTGAGAGGCAGAGTTACAGAGACAGGGAGAGACAAAGAGAGAAAAATGTTCCATCTGCTGGTTTACTCCCATATGACCACATGGTCAGGGCTGAGCCAGGTGGAAGCCAGGAGCTTGGAACTCCATCAGGGTCTCGCACCTAGGGGGGCCCAGGCACTTGGGCCATCTTTCACTGCTTTCCCAGGCACGTTAGCAGACGGCTGGTTTGGCAGTGGAGCAGCCAGGACTTGAACCCGTGCCAGTATGGGTTGCTGGCATCACAGGACGCAGCTTAACCTGCTGTGCCACAGCACTGCCCCACCCCCAAATTTTGAAGTCTCTGCGTACTTTTTTCATAATATGCGTTTTCCATCAGCCTTCTGAAGACTGCTTGTACAGTTCAGTGGCGTTAAGTACAGTGGCACTGTTGGTGAAGCCGTCACCACTGGCCAACTCCATAGCTTTCTCATCTTCCCAAACCAGAACTCTACCCATTAAACACTCACTCCCCCCAGTCACCTCTGTTTTACTTTCTGTCCTCGATTACGCTACCCATCTAAGTGGGGCCATATTGTATTTGTCTTTCGTATCTGGCTTATTTCACGTAGCATAGCGTACCCTGTGTCCGAATTTCATTTCTTTTTATGGCTGAGCAGTATTCCGTGTGGGTGTGTACCGCGTGGTGTGTTCTGTTCGTCAGTCCTGGGCTGCTTCAGCTGGTCTTCTGCTTCCTGGCTGTTTTGACTTCTTTCCCCTCCTGTTAGCTGGATATGCAGGTGAGTGTTCCATCCTGCAGGTTGGCCTAGGTTGCTGTGAGCCGGGTGAGGAGAAGCGTGTGGTCGGAGGCATGCGGCAGCCTGCAGAGCGCTTTGCCATCCTGTGTCTGCTGTGAGAGCCCTGGGCCCCAGTCCCATCGCGGGGTCTCAGGGCGCTCTGGCCGAGCTGTCCATTCGGGTGCCAGTCAGCCTTCCTGCTTGCCTGGCTTGGTGTCTTCCCTTCTCAGTCCTTCTTCACCTGCTGAGATCAAAGTTCCTGTTGGGGGTGGGGAGCCTCTGTTGCGCAGATTAAGACACTGCGTTGAGACGACTGCATCGCATCCCACACAAGGATGCCTGGTTCCCGTCCTAGCGGCTCTGCTTCTGGTCCAGCCCCTCTGCTGCACACCCTGGGAAGCAGACGATGGCACAAGTCCTTGGGTCCCTGCCGACCACGTGGAGACCTGGGCTGAGTCCCGGGGTGCTGGCTTCCACCAGGCCTCGCCCTGGCTGCTGTAGGCGTTTGGAGATCATGACCCAGCAGGTTCTCTCTGCCTGTCAAATAAAAGGAGGGAAAAGTGTTCTTCTTTAGAGATGACTCTGCATTCATATGCAGTTACAAGAAATAACACAAAGCTACTCCTCTAAAGGAGATCCCCTACCAGACCGCAGTCCCGCGTCACCGCAGGGCGTTGGCACCGGCAGTCAGCTGCGGCACAGCTCCCTGACCAGGACGACCCCTCGGGTTGCTTTTTGTAGCCGTGCACATTGCCTCCATGCCCTCACCTCCTTTCCTCCATCAGCCACCAATTTATTCTCCACCTTTATAATTTTTTCATTTCAAGAATGTTATATAAATGGAGCCCCCCTGCATGTCCCCTTTTGGGGTTGGCTGTTTTCCACCGAGCGTAATTGTCTGCAGGGTCCTCCACGTTGTCACATGCATCAAGATTTCACCCTCTAATTGCTGAGTGGTATTCCGTGGTGTGGCTGTACCTCAGTTTACCTGTACCTCCCCCCCCCCCCCCGGAAGACTTGTTTCCAGTTCTTGCTACTGGAGCTAAAACTACTGTAAATATACATGTCTGTGTTTTTATGTGAAAATGTCTTCAAATCTCTGGAGTAAATACCCAGGGGTGAAACAAGCAGCTAACTCATGTGGTGGTTCCAGGTCTCTGGTTTTTTTTTTTTTTTTTTTTAAACTGCCAATCCATTATCCAGAGTGGCTGTATCTTTTCTTTTTTTAAGATTTTATTTATTAACTTGAGAGGTACAGTTATAGCAGTGAGAGGGACAGACAGAAAGGTCTTCCATCTGCTGGTTTACTCTCCAAATGCCCTCAACAGCCAGAACTGTGCTGATCGAAAGCCAGGAGCCAGGATCCTCTTCTGGGTCTCCCACGTGGGTGCGGGGGCCCAAGGACCTGGGCCATCTTCTACTGCTTTCCCAGGCCATGGCAGAGAGTTGGATCTGAACAGGAGCATCTGGGACTAGAACTGGCACCCATAAGGGATGCTGGCGCTCCAGGCAGAGGATTAACCTAGTGCACCACAGGGCTGGTCCTCGGCGGCGTCACTTTATATTCCCACCAGCAGTGCGTGAGTGATCCAGTTCTCTGCATCCTTGTCAGCTTCTGGTGTTGCCACTGTTTTTCAGTAGCAACTTCAGATAGATGGGGGGTGGTAGAGAAATAGAGTTGGTAAACAATTATAAGTAGTATTGTATGTTTAATTTAGGTGCCCGTGTGTTCATTGCTAGTATTTAGAAATAAAGTTGATTTTGCCATGTTAATCTTGCTGAACTCTCATTTTAGTTCTAGGAGGGATTTGTTTCTGCCATTTTTAAGGGGATTTTCATGTCATCTCCAAATAGGGGCAGTAGGCTAATGTTGGTGCTTGTGGATGTATCCTGGAGATTGGATACAGTAGAAGTGAAGACTGCAATGACTTTATCTGTGGTAATTGTGTGAATTTTAAAATTTTTACTTATTTGAAAGACAGAGTTACAGAGAGAAAGAGAGAGAGATCTCCCTTCACTGGTTTACTCTCCAAATGACCACAGCAGCCAAGGCTGGACAAGACCGAAGCCAGGATCTAGGAGTTTCTTCTGGGTCTCCCACAAGAATGCAGGGGCCCAGGGACTTGGGCCATCTTCTACTGCTTTCCCAGGCCACAGCAGAGAGCTGGATGAGAAATAGAACAGCTGGGACTCGAACTATTGTCCATACGGGCTGCTGGCGCTGCAGGCAGTAGCTTTACCCACTATGCCATATGCTGCTGGCCCCGACTGTGTGAATTTTTTTTAAGATTTATTTATGTATTTGAAAAGCAAAATTAGAGAGAGAGAGAGAGAGAGAGAGAGAGAGAGATATGTTGATCTTCCAATTGCTGGTTCATTCCCCAAGTGGCTGCAATAGTGGACCTGGCTGAGGCCAGGCGCCAGGAGCTTCTTCTGAGTCTCCCACATGGTGCAGGGGTCCAAGCACTTGGACCATCTTTTGCTGCTTTCCCAGGTGTGTTAGCAAGCAGCAGGATCAGAATTAGAGCAGCCAGGACTTGAACTGTCATCCATATGGGATGCTGGCCTCGAAGGCAGTGACTTTACCTGCTATGCCACAATGCCAGTCCTGACTGTGTGATTATCACAACCAGATAATACAAGAAGAAAACTTACATGCCACAATCCTCATGAATACATAATATAGTTTTTCTTTCTTTTTTTTTAAAGATGTATCTATTTATTTGAAAGGCATAATTAACAGAGAGGTAGAGGCAGAGAGAGCCTCCGTCTGCTGGTTCAGTCCCCAAATAGCTGCAATAGCTGGATGGAGTTGGGCCCATCTGATGTCGGGATCCAGGATCTTCCGGGTCTCCCACGCGGGTGCAGGGGCCCAAGCACTTGAACCATCTTCCACTGCTTTCCCAGGTCATAGCAGAGAGCTGGATTGGAAGTGGAACAGCCGGGTCTTGAACTGGCGCCCGTATGGGATGGTGGCGCTGCAGGCGGCAGCTTTATCCAGCATGCCACAGCCACAGTCCCAGCCCCAGTAACTCTTAATAAATACTGGCAAATACTTATTTCTTCCTTTGTGGTGTATATTTATGTCTTCCTTCACGTCGGGGTCCACCGCGTGGCCTGAATTCTGCTGAAGGCATGCTTGGCCAGGTTGTGTCAGCAGCGGCCAAGGTCATTTGACATGATGCGGAAGCAGCTAAGGAAGTGCTGTG